CGGTGCGCTAGGAGGGCTGGGAAGTGTGGCACGCACAGCAGGGGGTTGCAGGCGCCCTCGCTCTCTCCCGCCATCTCTCTTCTCCAACAAACAGTCACTGAGTGCCCACTCTCTGCCAGGAACTACGGAAGGTGCTGGTGATGGGACAGGCAAGACCCACGGCCTCGAGGTGCGGCAGGGAGGCAGGCACTGAGCAAGACTGCACCGACCGCTCGAGAAATCAGAGCTGCGGTTTGCATGATGAAGGGAAAATTCTGTGACACTGGAGCAGGGAGCCTAGTCCAGTCTGAGGACGTGAGGCTAATACAGAAACATGAAGGACAGTGGGAACGAGCGGCTCCAATGTGGCCAGAGCGTCTGTACAGGCCCTGGAGTGGTCACAGCAGTAGGTAGCCTCTCCTAACAGGCCTCCCCTGTCCCACTTGCAGAACAGACAGGTGGCTTGGGAGAGCTGTAAGGGGCAGAACAGTCACATGCCGAAGGTGAGGAAAGGCAGACAGATCCTGTGCCTTGAGCCTGTTCCAGTTTACTCAGAGCACAACGAAGGCCTGCACATGAGCAGCTGGAGCCCGACTGATGCGATGGGACCTGTGACTCGTCCACAGGTGGAGACACTTGGCTTAGAAGGAGGGAGCACTGTTGTGTCGTTTCTCTTTCCTGGCTCGGGGCCTCCAGACACCGTCACATGTCTAACCTTTCTCACGGCCGAGTGCCACGACGCCTACCGTCGGCACAATTAACGCCTGGAAGGGCCCAGGCAAGGCTGGAACTCGCTTGATGGGGCGGCCAGGAGCAGTGGCAGTGCCTGGCAAGGGTGGGACAAGTCGTGTATGACGTCTGTGCCCCACTTTCCCTCCAAGCGGGAGTCACGGCCTTTCCTCCCAGGATGCTGCTGGGGCAGACGCCTGCCCCGTTGCCCTCCTGGCAGAGAGCGAGCTCACAGAGGGCAAGGGTCTCGGGGATTATCACGGCCCTGGCTTCTCCTGGCAAGTTCCTGCAGTCAGCAGCAAGCTCTGTACTCTCCCCTCTCTGGCCCGAGAGCTCCCGAGGGCACAGAGGAGGCTTTGTTCATCCTTCTGTCGTGAGAGCCCCACAACACCTGGACCTGGCAGGTTCGCTGCAAGTGCTGGTGGGAGGAAGCCCTGGGGATGGGAACGTCTTAAATACAGACACGGATGAAGAGGGAGCTTGGTGCACATTCCGGGCCCTTTCAAATAATGCATTTAAAACAGATCAAGAATGGCCGTTGGTGCACACAGTTCTGCCTTTAACGTGACTGCAGGACTGCAAGGAAGAAAGAACCGAGAAGGTGTGAGTCTGAACGCTGCCTTCAGGGAGAGTGGGTGTTCACTGAGGGGGTGGCCGCAGACACAGCAGAGCTGCAAATGCCCTCTTTTGGAGCTGGAGGGAAAACACACAGAGCTAGAAGTTTCTCTGACAGCCACAAACACAGAGGAAGAGATGCTATTTGATTCACACTGTGAAGGCAAATGTAATTTGAATTGCCTTGAAAAATGGCAAAGTTACTGTTAAGGTAATTATTCCTTCTACATCAAATGCACCCTTTCGTATTCAATGCAGGCAGCATCACTGCCAACGTGAAATGTGTGTGTTACAGCCCCAGTTTGCCTGCGACTCTCCTGCCTTTCAGCACTGGAAGCCCTACGTCCTGGAAAACCTTCCCAGAATAGCTGGGCGCCCAGGTGAGAGGAGGAGGCTGCGCCGCTCAGGGAGAGGTGGCCTGCGGATTCCCAGCCGCAGCGCCCACAGCGGCCCCAAGGACGAGCTCCCAGCTACATCTGCTCTGGGGCCCTTGCTGCCCACCCGAGAGACCCAGGAAACTCTTCGCCTACTGAGCGTCTACAGAGAATCCACCCACACTGTGTGGATCCCGGAGCCCCTGTATCTACCTCATTTTCCTCGAGGTTAGCATAGCTTTAAAAGTCCAAAAGGTGAAAGGAAGTTAAAGAAATATTAAGAGGCAAAGTTCAAATAATTTGATGTTCAAATGCTATAAAAATATACCCATGTATATACCCACATTTATAAACATAAACCTCCCTGGTCCATGCATAGCAGAAAAGTGCCATCTAACTGGGCTGGTTGGAAAATTATAATTTATTGCCTAAATTGCAAAGGTGTCCCCTGATGCCATAGGTCCACTGCTCAACCCAAATGAACAGACCGAGAAAGCCACTAGGAAATGACATTGGGTCAACACCTCCAAGAGAATGAATCGTCGGTTCCAGGTGAGGCCGCACTGGCCCAGCTGTACCTGCGCATCCCTGAGAGAGGCTGAACAGAGGGTGCGTAGGGTGGGCGGACCACTCAGTCCCTGGCCTCTTGGTCACACTTCTTTAGTAGGTTCTACATGATCTCGATAAAGCCCGCAAGCAGAGGAGAGGCTCTGGGGCCGCCTGGGCACAGCAGTAGTAGAGTTATGGGGAATGGTCTCCAGCGTCGTGCTCACCCTTGTAACTCGGGGCCCAGATTTCACCCGAGGAGCATCTTGTAAACGGTCTGGGCATCAAACCCTCAGAAATTCCATATAAATATTTGCTGCCTAGAACTTTCCAGGGTGGATAAGGCAGGTCACAACACTTACATTAATCCAAAGAACAATCAAAACTTGGGCTTTCGAATGCCATTTGAAGCAGCTGACAGAAAGCTGAGACTGTGTTAGAAACACGAGCCTGGGCTCCTGCCCCGGCCAGCACTTTGTGGCCCTGGTGACCTTTCCTCCAAGCACCTGCAGGTCTCGGGCGCGTCCTTCCCCGTCAGCACCGTGTCTGCTGCCCCGCCTGGTCCTGGCCCCTCTCCCCGCTACCCTGCACCTCTCTCCACCTTCTTCCCCACAGCACAGCTCCCTCTCTTCTCAGACTGTTCCCAAACTCACTTATTTCCCTCTGGAAGGCACAGGAAAGCGTTCCCAGAGGAAGAAAACCTCAGTCTGAAACGTGTAGCCACCGCTTGCAGCTGTGCGGCCTTGAGCAGGCCCTCAGCCTCTCCGGGCCCAGGCTCCTCACGAGCCCCCGCGGTGACGGGAGGAGAAGAAAAAGATCCACAAACCAGTCACCAGATGACAAACAAGAAGCAACGCGTATGGCGCGGTCACCGCCTTCCCGTGGTTCCATTCCATGTCCGAAATACAGCAACAGCTCAAGTGAGAGAGCTAATTACCTCAAACCCTCATGGGAAGCCAGTGAACGTTTGAAAATTGCAGATTTGTAGGCTCAGACCCCTGAAAAACCTGCTTCAGGATGTAGATGTCCCGAGAGACAGTTTAGAGACTCGGAAGCGTGTGCCGTGGGATCCGCCAGACTGTCAGAGCGGGTCCCGGCCGCGCCTTCCGCTTCTCCAGAAGGCTTGGGACCACCAGCCCTGGAAGCCCGCTGAGGCCCTGTGTGTGAAGCAGAGGGGCCGCCCCGGCACGGTGCTTACATGGCCACCTGCGCTCACTTTTGGGATCCTTCTTCAGCCATTCGCCCCAGTTTCCTCATTTTCCCTCATTCTACCTGAGGACATAAATTCGTCGACACTTAAATTCCATATCAGTAAAAAAGCACAAAGAAAACCCAAAAGCCCTCAATAAATTTTAACTGCCTGAACCCCCCCGGAGACAGCATGAAACTTGCAGCTTTCCCTTCCCCGTGGTTAAGGACGGGCATTTTCCCCATCGAGGCAGGGCTGGCACCCTCACCAGGTGATGTCCCGGGTCCCTGCTCAGGGCCACACGTACACAGCTATGCACACCTTCGCCCCCACACCAAGACAAGTTCTGGGGGACTAACCCTAGAGCTGTCACAAATGGCCCTGGGAGAGCTTGGGAAGCCACCGAGTCAGTGGGCATTGAGGCCGTTCTCACACAGGGTAACGAAGCTGGGACTCCTGGGTGTCCCGGGGACCCACTCACCGAGGGGCCGACTTCCACAGCCTCTCTGCCTGTGGGCGCGGGGCCGCCTCCCTCTTACAGGGGCCAGCAGCCCACGTGACAGTGGCCCAGCACCACCTCCCGGGTTACCCGCTCTCCACACAGCATGTGCTCACTCCCTGGTGACGGGTATTCCCTGTGCCCAAACTGATCCAGGTCTGAGTCCAGACGCTGTGTGACCAAGGCCAAGTGGCTCAGCTCCTCGGAGGCTTGTTCACTTTATATATGACTGGAGGATAATGTTTAGTACTGACCTCTCAGGTACAGGTGAAAACATAAACTAGGATCTGGAAATAATATCTCAGAAAACACAACTTATCCCCAGTCTTCCCACTACTAGCACAACTCCCCAAACCCGCCAGGAATGTATAGGGGTACAGGGTCAGTCCATCCACTGAGTCACGCTGAGTCGACACAGATCTCGGAAGCCACCTGGCCCAAGCATCCCTTTAATTTGGGGATCCCCTGCAGAAGCCACAGAGTCCGCACCTTCGGGGACCAGGTAGGCAGTATCGTGCAGACCCGCTAGGACCATGTAGAGAGAAAGACTCGGAGAGCCAGAAAGTGCCTACTCTGCCCAAGGGACTTGAGGTTCAGGAAGTGTCAAACACCGTGTTGGTGCGCATGCACGCACGAGTGGACGAATGCATGAAAAATAAATACACAAGCCAGCAGCTCCGTGCAGGCTGAGGGCCTTGAGCTTGCAGCGTGTGCTGCACGGGCCCGTAATGGACTATTCCTCCACGCTGTCCCGGGATTAGCACAACTGTGGGTTAGGGTGGGAATGCTCCTGGGGGTCAGAAGTGCGATTTAGACTCTCCCTCTGTGACCCAGGAGGTGAGGACCAGGGAAGGCACCTACCATGCAGGAGGCTGACTTTGTCACCTGTGGATGGGAGCTTGCACCTGCCCCTCTCCTCAATACGTGTGAGGGACACAGTGACATCAGCTCTCTCCCACCCCTCCCATCTGACAGTGCCCTGCGCCTGCCCGCAGGCGGGTGCGTTCCTGGATCTGAGCTGCACGGTCTGGTGCACCCACCCCCTCCGTGCACACACAGTCACGGTCACCTTTCTCAATCTCGCGGCTCCTGTGCCAGAGCGGATGGCATCCATCAAGGCTTGCCTCGCGTCCACCGGGTCGCCGAGGGTGCCCATGCTGAGCTTGGAAGCCATCCTTGATGTGGAGAGAGCCTGGGAGGTCGGTGGGGGTGGGGGCGGCACGGCTGGTGGGGGCGAAAGGCCAAGGTCTTGCTGCTGAGGATCTTCCGAACCCCATGCAGACAGCATGGCATTTCGGGAACTCTGGAGCTCCTCAGAGGCGAAGGATGACACCTGGCAACGAGAGGATTAATGACTGCTATAGTGCGAATGCTCACATCTCCCAAAACTCGCACATGAAATCCTAACGCCCACGGTGATGGCATTAGGAGATGACTTCGGCAGGTGATGAGGTCCTGAGATTAGGCCCTTGTGATTGGGATTAGTGCCCTTACAAAAAAAAAAAAAAAAAAAAGGCCCCAGAGCTCCCTTGTCCCTTCCATGTGAGGACACAGAGAGGAGATGCCGTCTACGAACTGGAAAGTAGGCTTTCACGAGATACCAGAGCTGCTGGTGCCTTGATCTTGGGCTTCCAGCCTCCAGAACGGTTAGGAATAAATCTGTGTTCTTTATAAGCCACCCAGTCTATAGGATTCTGTCACAGCAGCCCAAAAGACTAAGGCGGTGACAATGTCCCCAAAGGTCCTCTGCGAGGACGGCACACAGCTGATTATCTTACCCTTGGACACGCAACAGTTCTTTTGCAATAAGCCCGGGAAGTTAGTCGGCTCCATGGCTGAGAAATCTGCCCCTGCACTGTCGGCAGCCAAGCCACTGATCACAGGGACCAGAATTTGGCAGCCCCGCCTCACTGAGAAATTCTCTGATCCTCTCTGATCTTGCAACTTTTCTTGGCATGTGAGGATAGAAGTAGAAATCGAGGAACGTACAAGCCACGTTCTTCAATTTCTGCGCATGGAAGCTACAGATGACACCATTCTGACTCCAAAGTCAGTCCACGTTGGCTCCCGGGGTTGTGCGGAAACCAGGACTAGACCATGCAGCAACTTACTCCAGGAAGTGCGCAGTGGCTTACGTCCCATCGCCGGCTAGCTGAGCCCGGAAGCGGTGCTGGTGTCAGAGGGAATCTGGAGGAGCACTCAGTTCTTCGTACAAGAACGACACCTTCGGCACAGCATGGACAGGGACTGGCACTCTCACTTCTCCTTTGCAGGGGCTGCCCCAGCCTCTTGGAGCCGGGCTCCTGCCCCGCAACACCGACGTTCCGGCCGGGTTGGACGGTCACTCTGAAGACCGTTCATCATCCACTCAGAGTAACAGAACCACCCACCCAGGTCCCTGGGGAGAGGGGGCTGGGGACTGACCTCCTGGTGCCACGAGGGCCTTCCTCCTCTTACCTTCTTCAGGCTGCAGGCCCCGCTGTGGCCGCGGATGGCCGCGAGCAGTGCGGACCGCTCACTCTCTGTTTCCGTGAAGGACGGTTTCTTTGGCCCTCCCTCCAAGGTGTGGTCTGCAGTCTAGAATATTAATAGCGTCAAGACATTTCACTCAGAAGATGGAGAAATGCTAACTGTAGGCAGCTCAGAGGAAAAGCAGCTCGTGTCAGTCGAGGCCTATAGGATCAATTTTACAGTCCCTGCCCCTCAGAGGTGTGTGTGAGGCTCGAAGGCATGTGTGGGGTAGTGTCAAACGACTGCCTCTTCGTGTCAGATCTTTCCTATTATTCGTCTTCGCTGTCCAGGGCCGACATGTGCATTTAAGTCTTGTAGACCTGGATGAGAATCTGGGGTTCCCATTAACCAGTTTGTGACCTTGGACAAGGCCGCTTAGTCTCCTGTGCCTCAGTCTCCCCACCTGCAAAACGGAGGATCTGCTCATTATCAGCATTGGTGTAGCAATTTAAATGAGATCATATTTGTGATGTGTTAAACGGGCAAGGAGTGGCATATTCTTGTGTTACTGAAGATGATAGGATACTGCTGCCATGAATGCTCACACCTAGGGAAGGAGCGGCCCTGCCTGCGTTTTTCACTTGCCCCCCATTGCTCTGGGACCAGCGCACGGGCGGTCCCACACCCCAGCCTCTCCACTCCTTGGGCCCGGTGAATGGGCGTTATTGGCTGACATCTTTCCCACAGGGCTGTGAGGGGCCTGAGTTCAGTGTGGATAAGCCCAAAACCCATCAATTTTTGTCTCTTTAGTGATTCTAGTCAAATATTCTGGGGGAATGAGACAGAAGCTCTAGCTGGAATGAGACCTGTGTTAAACCTGTTATCCTTGTCCTGTCTCTCTGCACCAATCCTGCTCTAAGAGTCTGAGACCAGAGCACCTGTGTGGACAAGCGTGGAAGTCTGATCAGATCCCCTGTGACCGTGCCCTAAAGGCGCCGCATTTACCTTGCGAAGCTTGTCCTTCCCTCCCGCGGAGTGGATGGCTTCCATCAGGGCGCTGTGCAGGGACGTGTCCTTTGGGACTGGCCTCTGGACGACAGGTCTGAATTTTTTCTTTGGCCCAAAAATGCTGGATGGCAAAGTGCCGTCTGTTTCATGTACATCTGTAGAGGACCAACTGGGCTTTTCCCCTCTCTCTAGGATAACACAGCTGCTCGGGCCGGACCCTCCTGGAGCGTGTGGAGGATTGCTACCAGCCGGGGCCCACGTGGAGCCATTCACCAGCGCCCCGCCAGGGCTCCGAGCGTCTGCTAAGTGCAGAGGGGGCGGGTCTGTCCTGTCCAGGGTGCATCTCGGGTCAGATGCTGAGCTGGGCCCCTGGTTCTTTGTGCTGTGCTTTCCACGGAAACCACAGCTTTGTCCCACAGAAACATGATCCCTCTGGGAAGACTGGACTAGTAGGAAATTGGAGCTTTTGTGGACACCAGCAGGACAGTCCTGAGTAGACAACTTCCCACATGGGCCACTGACTTCCCCTCTAGGACGGGCTTCCACTGCCGATTCCTCCCCATGGCTGCTGGGAAGGGTGACGCAGGGCCGCTGTGCACCGTCTGCATGTCTGTGTGTCTCTGAGCATAGGCTGGGGGCCGCACCGTCTTCCACGGGGAGAGGCTGTCTGGTCAGTGCTGGCGTTTGGCCCATATAACCCTTCCCAGCATGACCGTGCTGCCCCGCCATGCTGGTGTGGACTTTCGGGGGTCCTATCCTCTTGGCAATGGCAGAGGCCACATACTGGCTGGACGTCCTTCTATGAGGCTTGAGAAATGAGACTTCTGTGGCATGCGCCGCTGGCGCTTTCACGTGACAAGTGACTGCCACGGGTGGCCGGCTTCTCCCCTCTTCTAGGAGACTTCTGTCCTCTTGGTCGGCAGGCTGTGGCGGGGGTGACGTCAGTCTGGGCTCGGCTTGGAGTCCACTCCCTGGACGCTGCGCCTTGGCTGGCACGGCCGGGGAGGGGGCGCTGCTGGCTGGGTGTCTTTCCATAGAGCTGCATCTCCAGAACTCTCTGACTTTTCCAATGGGCTGAATTTCTTCTTCAAGAAGGGATGGTGGCAGGGCTCTGGTCCTGCTGCTGCTGGCGTGGGGACTCACCAGGTTCCCCAGCTCATCAATCTTGATGGCGCCCGTGGAGAGGGACACGTTTCTGTCATAACACCTCATCTCTGACTTTGGAGGAACAATTTTATATGTCGTGAGGCCGTACTTAAGGCCGTAACTCCCCGCTGGGCTCTGGCCTCGCTGATGCCATGCCGGTAGTGCCGAGGCAGCGTCTCTGTCCCCGCCCTCCTTCTCATTCACTGGCCCGGCACCGGCCTTCTCCACCGCCCGGGTCTTCTCCCTGTCAGCACAGTCGCGTGTCTCGCCTTTCTCCTTGGCACGTGGGTCATCTGCGTGAAGATTTGAAGCAAAATAAGTCACCTTGGGACCCACTGCAATTGAATCCCCAACTTTATGGGTGTTGGATGAGGCCGAATGGACTGCTCTCCCGACGTCACGGGCAGGAGGGTGCCGGACAGGTGCTTCCTCCCTTGTCGTTCCATGGCGCTCGCTGCGCTCAGCCTGAAGTGGCGCCAGGAAGGCTCTCCCGCTGGCAACGTCCTCCATGTCAAAAGAACCAGCATTGTTGTTTCTGTTGGAAAACGACCCCAAATCCACAGGATCATCTGAAACTTCCCCTATGAACGTCACTGGGATGGCGTCCGCATCGCTCTTGGGGATCACGGCATCTGGCGTGCAGTGGCTGGATGCGCCAGGTGCGGAGCTGGTGAGAGAGCTAGTGTCTGTTTCGTAGCTCTCTTCCATGTCTGCAAAGAAGGACAAACGCAAGTCACAGACTGGCACCGCTCGTGCGGTTCCCACGCCAGTTCCTCAGAGTAATCGCAGCCATGACTTTGATTTGCCTGAGGGTGCTCTGGAGTAAGTTATACATTCTAGAATGTTATTTTGGTTTGTAATCTACATAGCATGCCTGGGGCCAGGATCTCAACTTTAAATACTCAACACAAGACCTCTCTGCAGATCCGTGACGTTTCAAGGTAATGTATTCAGTTATGACATCTGGCCAACGTCTTCCACTTATGAAATAGATTTCTGGATCCTAGCCTCTGGAAAAACTGTCTCTGCACAGAAACATGAAAGTGATTTTTGGGTTCTGCCCTGCAAGATTCTTTGGTCCACCAGAAGCACAACAGAAAAAAAGGAGCACCCCTTCTCTAGCTTTGACTTCCTGCAGAGGCAGGAGACTACGTCTGGAGCAGCTCGGAACTGCCATGGCTCTCCCGGCACTGAGGGAAAGGCGTGTGGTCAGGGCCTATTTCTCAGCTCTGTCAACTGCATATTCTGAGGATAGGAAACTGAGACGTGGTCAGACAAAACTATTGATCAGTTTTGCAGTCTGTTTCCTTCTTCTTTTTGTTTTGTTTTAAGGCATGACAAATGCCTAATTTCTAGTTTATTTTCAATATGTGACTTGGAGAAAATAACATAGCTCCTTTGTCTGAAAGATTCTCTAGTTGTTTACTGAAATTTTTTGCATGTGCTTTGGCTTTATAGTATTATTTCCTCAGAAAATATCAATAGCATAGCAGTGCCGTGAGGTGCTCCACTACAAGCGAATTCGCTGTGGTTACAGCTGAGGATTTCCCGTTGAGAGATGGGCCACACGCTAGCAAGTGGAATGAGAAGTCTCAACAAGAAAACTTGTTTCTCTTTGTGCTATCCTTTTTTTTCTCTATAATGTGCATGGAGTGCTTTCTAATGTACAAAATTAGTGTTATTCAGAGCGCACTGTTAGCAGCCATTTGTGCGTGTTTCCAGATGAAAAGCCATCAGGAGCTGAGCTCCCCTGGGCGCTCGGCCTGCAAGTCCAGGCTTTCGACGAACCGAGCTGCGTTTCCTCCTGAAGACCTTTCCTCACGTGGTCACACACATGCGGATGCTGCGGCATCTGCTGTCAGGCAGCACAACACCCAAGCGGTGGATCGGGTGGTTCTTACCTTCCAGGTCTTCGTCCAGTCCCGCCAGGGCTTCGTGGAACTGTCCAGTGATGAATAGGTCTTCATCATCCTTTGAGGCTCTGGCAGTCTTTTCAGTTCTAGGGGAAACCAAAGAGAAAGGAAGAACATTCATTTCTCTTATTATTGGTTTAATGCACTCACTTCCAGAAACATCTGAGGGTGGGATGGCTCGCATTCAAATTCAAGCAGTCACATACTCACCGGACTACTCCTGTCCTCAGAACTACTGAGACAGAGTGTGTGTGTGTGTGTGTGTGTGTGTGTGTGTGTGTGTGTTGTATGTGGTACGTATGTGCTATACGGTGTGTGTGTGTGGCCCCAAAGTGTTAGTAACAACCAAACCACACACAGCTCTCATTCGCTCTGAAGATCGAAGTTTCAATTCCACTGCACAAAGACAAGTTTATGTGAAAATAGGACTTGCTTGCCTGTCTGTGTTGCACTACAGCAGTCACCTGTACCTGCACCTGGCAAGAAGAAGCGAGGCCACACAGAGGCCAAGCTCACACGCATGTCCGTGGCCAGAGCCTGGTCCACCCCAGCCTGGACAGTGCACAGCCAGGCTGCTCCGAGTGCCTGGGGAGTTTTCATACAGGCGTGCAGTGCTGAGTGGGGGAGCGTCCCCAGGAGGCTTGCCAACTTTATAAGCTCAGGCTTCCTTCTGTGCCCACCCTAGAGGTGACCCACCCTGCTAGATTCAGAAAATGAGAGACATTCCAATCTTCTACAATAAAGGGCTTTTATAGATTCTCCAACATGTCCCTTTTCTATACCCTTCCTTTGGCTTAATTCCTTCCCTGGGTGGGTGATGGAGGGGACAGGACCTTGGGGGCCTGAGCGTGCCACCTGCAGAGCTGTGCTCCCTGGGCTCTTTAACTGGGAACATCAAGGCAGTGGGGATGGTGATGGCAAATGTTACAGCAACAGCAGCGGCAGTAACCGCTCCCTTAGCCTGCACACCCGTGCCCAGGGCCTCCTCTCAGACCCCACAGGAGGAAGCTCCTAGCAGCAGGGGCTCGCGTGCCTTCCTGCCAGGCTCTGAACAGAGCTCTTTTGCACAAATGATCATATTATAACCCTCACAAGCAGTTTATCAGGTAGGCCGTGTTGCTATCGCCCTGCACAGAGAGGGAACTGTGCACAGAGAAACTAACAGAGCTGCCTGGGTCGCACTGGCATCTGAACCCGGGCCTGCTGTTCCAAAGCCCAGGAAGGACCCACCACATCTGGGGCTGAGAGGCACACGTGGCCCTTGCAGCACAGGGCACCCAGGAAGATGTCAACCCGCCTGGTCGGGAGAGCCGGATCTTGCCTAATTTGCATCACAGGAACAATGGCATCTGTGAGACAACTGCTGCCAAAACAATTTGAAAACTGTCTTTGCAAGGGCTCTTGCCTCTATTTTCCCATTATGCAGAAAACACAGAGACATGTCTATGGCAATTGTCTATCTTCAGTGAAAGCTGAAGGTTTGTTTTCCAGTGATTGTTAAAATTGAGGACCAATCTTCATCATTGCTAATCAGGCCCAGATAATGATGCAGGAAATAAGCTTTGTACAATCCTCACGTAGCAAAGTTTTTATTCTGATAAATGAGCCTTTCTTACTTGGTGACTATGCCCATTTGGGAGCCAGGAAGTGGCTTCCAGATTAGTGTCAGCTAATGTCCTCTGACAAGCCAGACAAAGGGGGCTGGCTGGAGATGTGTGTGCATGTGGACCAATTAATAAAGACCACAAGAGGTGCATGACTGTCTTCTCTACCGCTTTTGCCATGGACTTTAATTATCTGAATGCACTTTACTAAAGTTGTGTTTTCTCTTTCATGGAATGTGATGATGGTTTAAAGAAAATTTAAATTTAAATATTTAATAAAACATATGGCAGAGAAAAAATGGAAACTGCTACATAAAATAACAATTTGAAATGGGAAACAGAGCACTCTTTAAATGCTCGCTCTTAGTTTAAGATGCTTAAGGCCTAAAGAAAATTACAAACATACTTTTACTTCAAAGTATTTGCCTTTACTTCAAAGTACGCTCATCACACCACTCTATGAGACACTGAAAAGAGTATCGATAAAAATTAAAAAAAAATTTAAGATAAAATTTCCACTGATCCTACCATTTTGTAAATGTTAAACCAGCAAAGCAGTAATCGCCCCAAGTTGATGAAGAGGAAATGAATTTGTGAATTTGCCACTGGTTTTACCTGCAGAACAGTACATTAAGAAACGTGCATCAAGAAACAAACAAAAGTCACTTTATCTTTATGAGAACTTTGGTCCATTAATCTCTCTTTTAATAATTTGCCTTTAGGAAATAATCCAAAAGAAGGAAAAATATAAACACAACAATGTTCATTGTATTCATGGAAGGACTCTACAACGTCCAACAGTAGGCAGAGTTACCTAAATTACTGCATATAAATGTCAAAGACCATTAAAATAAGTAAATACGATGGTCATAAAGTCTATGTAGAAACACAGATCAATGTTTAAGCTAGCGTGTTATGTGAAGAAATCAACGCACACATATATAGGGTGATTATGATGATATAAAAATAGCATATGCCCACGGACAAGGGAGAGACAGAAATCTAAACAAGAAAGTGTGATTTACTGAAAATGATGAATCAGGGTGAATATTTTATCCTTTTTCTTTAGAATTGTGCTTGCTTTTGTATAAAACAGCTTGAATAATAAAGCACATTTTTAATGAGCACAAATTGAAAGAATATTTTTGTCGTCTAGTTAGCAATTCTTTTTTGCAAAGGAGTTGCATTTTTCTCACCCTGCACACAGTATATGCTTAATGTTGTTACTCAGTGCCCAGTGCTCCTGGTGTGTGGCCGTCCTCACGGCCTCACGGCCGTCAGCCTGGTAAACATAACACAGAGCCCTTCGTCACCTTCCTCCTACCCAGACTGAGGCCTCAGCTGCCCTGTGAAAGACTGCAGATCCCAGCTCGCTTCCCCCTGCCCTTCAGCCCAAGCCGTCTTTCTGAAGTCTGGGACCCCACGCATGGTCCTACTCCCTCCTACCTGTGTTCTCTCCTGTCCCCCAACCTGTGTTCCAGGCTCTGCTGGAACATCCCTTTCCCACATCTGCCCTGGCTTTGCTCCTGGCACTGCAGCGTGGGGCTGGCTCCTTGGGGCCCTGCTTGCCCAGGAGGAAAAAGAGGATGTGTGCTAGGAGCCTCCAGCCTTGGGCACACTGAGGAGTGAGGGAGGGTCAGACCATGGCAGCCCAGGTCCTTGTTTGGCATAGCGCATAAGGCCGCCAAGCCAAGGAGGTATCTCTGAGGGTGGGAGGAGGTGGGGCCTGTAAACCACTTTTGTAGTTTGTTCTTCTCTTGATGCAACACAGGGGCTGTTGTGTTCTGGGTCCTGAATGCCTGCGTGAATGGATTATCTAGCAAAAGCCAAAGCCAATGGCAACGTATCGATTTTGCTTTCCAACGTAAGCTACCAGTGGGGAGAGGGTTAGCGATATTTGCTTTTCCTTCCTCCCTAGCTTCCACCTACTTCTCTCCAAAGGGTTGCCAAAGGGCTATAGACATTACTCTCTCTTTGTAAAACCACCAGATTTATGCGCTTAGTCACTGGGCTGGGAGGACAGCTCCCTGTTGGCTTAGCAGGAGAGATCTAGGTATGTGTCCCAGAAGAGTCAGCCGTGGGTAAGAAGCATCTGCCTATGTGGGCTTAAAGTATACGTGCACAGATGTCTTCCTGCAGGGCTTTGTTCCCCACGTTAAAAAAGTAAAAAGACAGGGAAAATTAATATAAATTAAATAATTTTATTTAGTTTTCTAGGGATAGGAAATAAAATTAATATAAAAATTATTTCTTTTTATACCAGATTCGGTACATATTTTACACTGAAAACACATCTCAGTTTGGACTGGCCACTCGTTAAGTGCTCAGTAGCCAAACATGTACTGGACAACGTGGCTCTCCAAGGTCTTACATGTGTCTTCAATGCTCCTTTGTAAATGTAGTTAGAAACTTTCAGAGTTCTAGAAGGAGTATAGAATACATAACATGTTTCTAAACCTTCTCTTGCAGCCACACAGTTCTTATGCAGTCATCTTCTGGTATCTGAGGGGAGGGAGATGGGTTCTAGGACTCCACATGGATACCAAATCCATGGATGCTCAAGTTCTCTCTATAAATGGTGTAGTATTTGCACATAACCTAGACATGTGCTCCCATAAACAGTCATGTGCTGCATAATGACGTTTCAGCCAATAAGGACCACATATACAACACTGGTCCCAGAATAGCAATAGGTGTGTAGTAAGCTGCAACTTCTAGGTTTGTGTAAGTACATGCTGTTTGCACAACAAAATCACCTGACTCACTTCTCAGAATGTATTCCCATCGTTAAGTGAGGCATGACTATAATTAAATAATCTCTAGATTACTTATAACACCTAATACAATGTAAATGCTATGTAAATAGCTATTACATTATATTTTTATTTGTATTGTTATTTTTTATATAGTTTTTTTTCAAATATTTTCAATCGACAGTTGTTTGAATCTGCAGACACAGAATAAGTGGATGTAAAACCTGCATGTAAAGAGGCCCAGCTGTAGTTGTAAAGTTTCAGGGTTCTAGACAGTGCTAAATGTTTCCAAATGCTCCTGTGGGCACAAAGTTCCTGTAGTTACAAGGGCTCCAGACATTGGCTGCTGTGACATGGGTTTCTTCTGAGCCTCTCGGCTGAAGCCCTCAGTCCCATACGGCAACCTGAGACCATGAGCCTGCAGGTGACAGCACAGCCTCTTGCAGAGCACTTCCATGGCCACACTTCCCACCACTCATTAACAAGTGGGGACTTAGAGGGAACTTTAGGGGTTGCCAGGCAGAGGGTGGGAGCAGTGGGTACTTCAGGGAGGCTCCCTTTGCCTGGAGAAGCTACACTCTCTACCTCTGGTGGCTCTGCACATGAGTTCGGTTTGGCCCTATTGTCAAAAAGGAAAAACGAATCCTGAAACTCGCTTATTCAATCTCTCTCATTTTCTCCTTACAGCAGCAGTCCCCAACATTTTTGGTGCCAGGGACCAGTCTCATG